ATTGTTCCACAGCTCTTGGATAAGCACAAGAATACAGAGAGCATGGTGGAGCTTCTGAACTTGTATCAGATGGAGGATGAAGCCTACAGCAGCCTTGCAGAAGCCACAACTGAACTCTATCAGTATTTACTACAGCCATTCCGAGACATGAGAGAACTTGCCATGCTACGAAGACAGCAGATCAAGGTATTTTTTTTAAATCTAAATAGTAGCCTGCCTGTTTCATAGTTCTCAACGTGGCTGGCCATGCATTTTAATTACTAGTGGAACTTCATAAAAATGTACATATCTGGTTCTTTGTTCACAAAGATTCTAGTTTGATAGGTTTGGGCTATGTAGAGCCTAAACACATCATTTTAAAGCATCTCCAAAGACAATTCTGCTGAGTAGCCAGGAGAGCAGCCTAGAAAGTAAATACAGTGAGAGATTCCCCTGCTGCTTTCCTGTACATCTCTTTCTACTCCTGTCTCCCTTTTAATGTTTTGGGTACCAGGTAGTCCTAGACTTCTTTACCAGAAGTTGGGAACATTTGTTTTGGGAAGACCTTGTTTTGAAAGTTACAAGGATTTAATGGTAGAGCTTTAAAATCCATACCTAATTTTCATGTGTAAAGTGTAACATTTTTTGAGGCAAATGTTTAAGGATTGGGTTTTATAGCTGACCTCAAATAACTGTACTCTGTTTAATTCACATGGAAATGTTGCTGATCTAGGACATGAAAATTGTGTTTTTGCATAATGGTTTAAATTGGAACAAATTATATAAAAAAATGTGTATTTGAGAAATTAGCAGTGGGCTCTCTCTGGAGCACATCCACGCCTTTCTTCCCTCTCAGCTGTGCATCTTTACTTAGGCCCTGACCAGGTAGCTTAGTCGGTTAGAATGCCGTCACCTCGTCCCAATAAACCAAGATTGCTGGTTCAATCCCTGGTCAGGGCACATGCAGGAAGCAATCAATAAATGCATAAATAAGTGGAACAACAAATCATTGTGTCTCTGTCTCTCTTTCTCTCTAAAAATCAATCAATTTTTTTAGAAAAGAAATTAGCAGTTACTCTGGGAACTTTATGATTGGGAGCAAGGATGAATAGTATATTTGAAAAATTATGAAAAGGTGAATGAGGTATGTCTGTGTATTTTTTCCCCTTTACTAATGAATCAGAATATAGAGCAGCACAGAAATGAATCTCATACTCCTTAATACTTTTGAAAAATATTGGGGTTGTCAGTCAGTTTATCATAAACTTGGTATTTTGGTTGAAATAGTAACTTGTAAATAATGTAATAATTTGTAGGCACCAGAACATCCTCCAAATTTTTTAATGAAATAGAGATTTTTGTCATTTGAGAAATTGCCTGGAAGGCAGGAATGAACTGAATGACATGGAGGCCCCATATCAGAATCTATGTGCATTTTGCTTTCATATTAATTATATCAAGATATGTATTGAGTATTGACATTAGCAAATTGATTGAACCCTACTTGTCATGCTGTGTTATCCACTAGCATTACATTTTGTTTCATTTTTCCTGGAAAGCAGAATATAGATAAGGAGGAATAGACAAAGAAGTTTTTAAATTTGTAACTTTTTTAAAGGTAAATATGGTATTTTACTTTATTACTGTTTTTGTGATATTGCTCCTAAATGCCCAATCAACTATGACTCTTCGTTCTTTTTACCTTTGTGAAGGTTTAAATAGAAGTATTAGATTTAGTTTGTGAGCTCATGCAGTTTGTCAGATAAGTGTGTTTAATGGTGCTGTTATATTTTATAAGCCTAACTAAATTGATTTTTTAAAAAGAGAACCACATAACACTTTACTGAAAGTATAGCTATCACTAAAATTTCTACAGATTTTAAATGGCTAACGAGAATATGAACACATTTCTGTCAATAAAGTCTACAACTTAGATGAAATGGAAACCTTCTTTGAAAAATACAAACTATCAAAATGGATTCAAAGAGAAATATATGTTTTGATAGCCCTATATTAACAAAGCTGAATGCATAACTTAAAACCTTCCCTCAAAGAAAACTTCCAATTCCAGATGACACCATTAGAGGATTTATCAAAGATTTAAGGAAGAAGTAATACCAGTTTTACACCAACTCTTTCAGAAAACAAAGTAGGGAACACTTTCCAACTTATTTTTTTGGCCAGCATTAATTATTCTGATACCAAAGCCAAATGACATTTACAGGAAAAAAAACAACAAACCTACAGATTAACATCCATCATGAATGTAGATGCAGTATTCATTAACATAATATTAAAAATAGGATCTAGTATTTTATAAAAAGGATGATATGACATGTTTCAGTTTATCTCAGAAATAGTATAAGGTTGGGTTAACATTCAAAGATAAAGAACTGTAACTCACCACATAATCAGAATAAAGGAAAAAAACAATGTTATTTCTACAGCTGCAGAAAATCATTTAAAAAATTTCATCATAAAAAGTCAACAGACTAGGAGGAGAGGGGAACTTCTTCAGCCTGATTAAGGGCATGTATGAAAGGCTAACATCATACCTGACTTCTTTCCCTTAAGATTGGGAGAAAGGCAAGATTGTTCTCACCAGTTCAGTAAGGCAAGAGGAAAAAGGCATAAATTGGAAAAGCCAAAGTAAAGCTCTCTTTATTTGTAGATCACATGACCATGAATATAAAAAATTATAAGAAATCTAAAAGCTACTGGAATAATATATAATTTTAACCAGGAGGTCAGTATTAAAAATTCAGTTGCATGTTCTGTCTTCTCAAGTCCTGTATACTGAAAATTATAAAACCTTATTGAGAGAAATTAAAATATACCTAAATAAATGGAGAGATAGACAATCATAATGGATTGGAAGACTCAATAATGTTTATCAGCTCTCACCTGATCTGTGGATTGAAATTAAAATTCCAGTATGGTATTTTTTAATATACAAAAACTGACAAGTTGATTACAAAATGTATATAGAAAGGCAAAGAATCTGGAACAGCCTTGACATTTTTTAAAAAGATAAAAGTTAGAGGACTTACTACCTGACTTCAAAGCTTACAAAAAGATAGAGAATCCAGACATTGGGGTATTGACATAGAATAGACATGTAAGCTAATGAAACACAACTGAATTCAGAAATAGACCCATTGTTACATACCAGTTTTCCACAGAAGGTAACAAGGCAATTCATTTGGGAAAAGAATCCTTTCAACAAATGCTGCTAGAATAACTGGATACCCACGTAAAAAAGATGAACCTCAGTCCTTATATTTTACACAAAAATTAATTTGAAATCTTAGACCTAAAACATAAAAGCTCAAATTATAAAACATATATAAGAAAACATAGAAAATTTATAGCATCATTGGGAAGGAAAGGCAAAAGTTTTTCAGGTAGGATGCAGAACTTAAGAAAGATAGATTAGACTTCATCAGTGGAATACTACGCAGCTGTAAAAACGGGGATCTCTTACCCTTTGAGACAGCATGGAGGGACCTAGAGAGTATTATGCTAAGTGAAATAAGTCAGAGAAAGACAAAGTATCACATGATCTCACTTATATGTGGAATCTAATGAACAAAATAAACTGACAAACAAAATAGGTCCAGAGGCATCTATACATGGAACAGACTCAAGAGCCTCAGAAGGAAGGGGTGGGGGTGGGCGGCGGGGGGAGAGATCAACCAAAGAATTTGTATGTATAACCATGGACACAGACAATAGCAGGGTGAAGGTCTGGGGAGAGGACTGAAGTGGGGATGGGGTATCAATGGGTAAAAAGTAGACATCTGTAATACTTTACATAATAAAGGTAAAATTAAAAAAAATTAGACTTCATCAAAATTAAACAGTTTTGCTCTTTGAAAGATTGCTAAGAAAATGGGAAGATAAGCCATAGATTGAGAGAAAAGACTTCTAATATACCTGAGAAAGGAAGTGTACAGCTTAATAAGATAAAAACCAAAAATTTTGAAAATGGGCTAAATATTTTAAAAAGCATTTAAAGAAATGGCTACTAAGCACATACAAAGATACTTAACATGGTCCCCAGGGAAATTCAAATTAAAGCCATATGAGATACTATTACACACTCATTAGAATGATTATAATAAAAAATCCTGGCGCTCCCACAGGCTGGTGAGGATGTAGAGTAACTGGAATTCTCATACAGTCCTAGCAGAACTTTAAAGTCATACAACCACCTTGGAAAACAGGCAGTTTTTTCAAAAAAAAAACATATACATACCTTGACAAATCAGCTGTTTGACTAGTTATTTATATGAGAAATGAAAACATCTGTTCACAAAAAGATTTACTCACTAATATTCATGCCAACTTTATTCATAGTAACCCCAAATTGGAACAACCCATATGGCCATCAACAGGTGAATGGATAAACAAAATGTGCTATCTACACTAATAAAAGAGAAACATGGTAATTGGCATACGACCGCTACCCTTCCCATTGGCTAATCCCCCTGTCACTCACAGAGTAGGGCCGAGATATGCAAATTAACTGGCAGCCGGCAGCCAGGCAGCTGATGCGAACAGGGAGGCTTGCTTGCTTCAGTGACAGAGAACTCCAACGTTCCCCGCCTGACTTGCTGGCCTCTCAGCTGCAACTCTAAGCAACTATGTTGCGAATAAAGAAGCTAAAAAAACCCCAGAAACCTGCTTTACTCAGCGGAGCTTCAGCCAGCCAGACCGCAACATTGTATCAAATACAGACGGTAAACAAAGACAAGAAACATGTTTTCAGCAGCAGAGGCCTCAGCGCTAAAGA